CCAACTTGGGCCAGTGAAGCAACGTCCTCCACAACTAGACTGAAGAACAAAACGACAGCAACTTGTCTGTTCCCCTTCCCCCAATTCCCCACCACTGTTCCCGTTTCCCCAATTCCCCAATAAAAATCTTTAAAAAAAAGAAAAAGAAAAAGAAAAGACCACCCTTTAGGTGCTGAGCGAGTCAAAAACCTATAATCGAAAGAAACCCAATACAAGAAGAATTGCTCCATGTTATTTGCATTAAGGAAAGAGATGCTTGCTTGCTTGCTTCTAAGGTGTTGAGGATTTACACAGAAGGTCCAAAGAGAACTAGGACTCTCAGATGGATTAGAAAGTCATCGGTCAAACGTGTCACTTTTAGCAGTGGTTCAGTAAGCAACACAGCTCTAGAATTCTGTTCAGAGCAGGCAACTGAGAGAGGGTAACAGGCAGATGGAAGGGGTTTATGTGCGCCAGACTTCCAGAGCGGAAGAAAATATTAGTCTAGATTGGGAACCACAGTAGGAGCTGGAAACAGATGAGCAACCTCACAGAAAAATTGAGGCAAGCAACAGTCAGGTGCTAGTTAAGAGAGCTCAGCAGAAAGTACATGGTAACAATAGGAAAAATGGAAATTGATGCTCAGTTGAATGGTCTGTGAGTCAGAGTTTTCCTCCCTCATTCAAGGTCAGATCATCTGAAAATGGAGACCCAGAGAGACACCAGACCTTAACTTTGAAGGGCAATAGAGTAAGAAGCAAGATAGTTCTTGACACAGGTCTATGTAATCTATGTTCCCAGCTATCTCAAAGCTCAATTTCCAGTAACCCTTTCCTCATGGAAATTTGCATTTCACCAAGTGTCGTATCTTTATCAGTTTTGATATAGATTTGAAATAATGAAATACAGTAGCCAGTTCTTGAAATGGCTTGTCCTCTCTGCCTGTCTCTGTTCAAGAGAGAGGGCAAACGGATGTGACTTCCCTAGCCCCCTGGGATTGGCCTCTCGTTGGCAGACAGAGAGCAGAACAGGATGTCATCGAGCCCTCTGAAAGCTTTTAAACGAAGGTCTCACGATTTCCTGCCTCCCTCCGAGTGTGTTGATGAATTCATTATGGATGGAGATATATTCAAAATCAGATTTAGCTATGCCTGATGGACTTAAGCTGACAATGCTTTCATCTCATCTACCTGGCAGCCATAGTTTGGAAGCTCTAGCTTGCATAAGACAAAAAGCTCATTACCCATGAAGAAATGGACAGTAAGTTTGCCTTCCAAGTCAGACTAGACCTTTGGATTGTTGTCCTGGTGGGGGATGGGAACTCATTCTCAGAACTGGGCTATGGAGGATTTTTGGTTTATTATCGTCATACCATACATTCTCTAGCAAGAAAGGGATTTGTCACATAAAAAAACATATTAATATTTAAAATTGGGAACAGTATTTGAAATTATATGAACTTTATTTCATGTACTTAGTAATGTTTATGAATTTTGGCATTCTGGTCATCTACTAAAAAAACCAATAAGATGTGTGGGTTTATTCGTTGTATTTTATGATGCAGCTTTTATGTGTAGTTTGCACATAAAATAAAAATTGTTTGTCACTATAAAAATGAACAATAGGTATAAGCAAGAGAAATAAAATAAAAATTCACCTGAAGTCTTACCCAAGCAATTTGTATCCATATAATTTTGATATCGGTCCTTTCAATTCTTTTTTCTATGCATTATAAACTAACATTATAAAACTGGGATTATTGAATATACACTTTTAAAAATAAAAAGATATATTGTTTTTTATAGCAACAGGTCTTCAATTCTTTTATCAACACATATTCTTGGAAAAGCTGGTCTTAAATATGCAAATATATATATATATATATATATGCATGCTGGCTTACCCACAAAATCTCAGTAGAACAAGAGTGAAGAAAATAAAAAAATAAAAAAAGCCACCAGGAATCTATAAGAACAAAAATAGCTGGAAAAGAGGCAAATACAACAAACTTTTGGAAGCTGGAGGCAGATGGATGACTGGTAACTGATTTTGCAAATGTTATACAAGAAAGTGGAATCCTAGGTTGGCAATGGGAAATCCCACATGGGCACAGAAATTTGTCAGGCCAGCTACCTCTGAACAGAAGTGAAGGTGAAACTAAAGCAATAGGCTTGTTCAAATTCTGTTATCTTCTCTACAACTACTCCCCCATTCTTAACCAGATAGCTGCCATTTCTTAATTGAGATTTATGCTCTGAAGAGGATAATTGGAGGCACTCTGCCCTAGAGAGGAGGAGGAACAGATATAGTTGGGGTATGTGCCAAAGTGAAAATGGAGAAATAAGTTTAGGTTTATGTAACGAAAGTTGAGAGTCCTGGCTTTCTTTCTTCTAGCAGGACCCAGTCTTAAACATTCTAGATAAGAGATTGAGAAATTATTTTCTAGAGAATCTAACCAGCCCATGAGAAAATATACAACCATATTTACAGCAGGGTTGTCCACAAAGAAAACAGCCCAGACAGATAATATAATCGTTAAACCACAGTAAACGAGCCCCACATACATTCATAGTTGACGATCAGCATTTTCATCTTCTGCTCTTCAAAGGGAGTGAGCAGGCAACCAAGGATTACCTGCCATCTAAGGAAATCCTATAAAATGAAAGACAGAAAAAAAGAGGTGATTTAGATGAAACAGGCTCTGCAGGTAAAGCATGCCTTTAACTTTTTTTATCTTGAAAAATATCAAACCTAAAGAAAAGCTGAATGAATAGTGCAATGAATATTTCACCATGTTTGTGCTTTCTCTCTTTCGTGTTCTTTCTCTCTCTCTCTCTCTCTCCCTCTCTCGCTAAATCAGGAAATTTTACTCCTAAATAATCCAGGATGTGTCTTCTAAAAATAAGGGCTTTCCCTATATACTGTCATTTTCACATCTAACAAAATTAATAACAATTATTATTTACCTTCCATATTATCGTACAAGTGACTTCTATCAATGCTTCATTTTTATTCCATGATGCAATCAGATTTCATGAATTGCATTTTGTTTTTGTGTCATTTTAGGCTCTTCACTATAGAACAGTCCCTGTCTTGTGTTTTTTATGACATTTAGTGTTTTGAGGAGCCCAAGTCAGTTATCTTATAGATAAAACATCCTATATTCTGGATTTGACAGACTATTTCATCATGATGTCATTTAACTTATTTCTCTATTTCTTGTATTTCCTAAAAAGAAGTCTACTCTATGTATGATGCTGTTTTTCTGTTTATGTTAGAAGAGCATATAAATTTATTGTAGATTGGCCCACTAATGAGAATAATTATGATGCTAAATTCCATTGCTTGGGTAAGGTGGTTAACCAGATCTAAGAGGAGAAATCTGAAGGAAAGTAGCTATAATTAACATGATTAGTATGACAAAAGGTTTTGCAACTATGAAATAAGAACACTTTGACAAACACTGAGGAATATTGAAAAAATCAGATAATATCTCTAAAAATAAGAGCATAGTAGCAGGTATTTCATAGAATAAATGGAAAATAAAATTGAGGTGATCATAGAAAGCAAAGGGGGAAAAAAAGTCTGAGTAAGAAAATAGAAAAAAATACAAGGAAGAGGAAGCGTTCAGGAGATTCAACATATGACTAAAAGCACTTCTAAACTGAGTGGGAAAAGAATGAAGGAGATAAAATTATTAGTAAAACAATTCAGGAAAATTTCCCTGACTTCAAAGATATGTTTCTAGATGGAAAATGTCACTAAGGACCCAGCATAATGCACATTGAGTTTTTTTCTCTATATTTGCTCTATTAACCCATCTTTTTACATCACGTGATGTTATTTATTATAGCAATATATGGTAATGCTTGGTAGGGTATGTCTCCCTTCATTCTTCTCATTGTTCATTTTTTCAAATTATTCTTATCCATTTAAATTTTATCTTGATACTTAATATTTTTGCAAAAAAAAAATACCCTCCCCCAGAGCCTATGTATATTTTGATTAGGATTACATAAATGTGTGCGTGTGTGTGTGTGTGTGTGTGTGTGTGTATAAACTTTACCTTTGGATGGTAAAGTTTCCCATTCAAAGTCATTTAATTTATTACATGCAATCAAGCCATCTTTTACATGCCCTCCTCCCATATTCCTCTCTGTGGGAAATGAGGCAGAGTGAAGGAGGGACACAGTCTATTAGATATTGAGTGAAAATCGATAAAAATGGAATAAGGAATTTACTCTATAGAAAGGTGGGCTATGACTCTTCAAAAATACAATGGAATCTTAACACTTGATTTTTATTAAGAAGAAACTTGAGGCTCATATATGTTCTTAAAAATTAGGCAAAATAAAATCAACATGAATAACGTGGGGCTCGACAGATTAACTATGTCTGTAATTTTGAGCATGTGTCCTAAGTTTATAAGTGTAGAAAACAGATGTGTTCAACCACACACAGTCCTAGAAGTTTCTAGGCTATATCATTATGACTGCCTGATAGACAAGAGCTAGGAGGAGCAACAACTGATCCCCAGGCTCCTTCAAGTCCAGACAGGTCTCTTTCTAAATCACTGTCACTATTCAGATCCAGAAAATCTAAAAAAGCAGAGAGAGAAAGAGAAAGAAAAAGTCAACAAAAATATTCAAGCTTTGGTATGAGAATGGAAAGACACCAACATGAAATACAGGAGAAATAATTATGAGAATATCATGTGCAACTTGTTGGAACATAAATAGTACTCTTTGAAAAACTCAGAGACTTCTATCACAGAGAAAGTCTTTGCCTGGATTCTCTGGATATAATAAAGGAGGTTGAAGGGAATAGAGCTGCCCTGTTATCTACCAAGAAGCATGAGATATAGAATAGAAATGGTTTACCTCAGCCAGTCTTCGATTTCCTCATAACCAGTACGAGGTTGAGAGTACAATTGAGAATCCTCATGTATCCCTGGGACCCACTCAAAGCCGTAAAATCAAAATAATTGTAAATATATATTTCTTTAAGAAATAAATGCAATAAGAGAGTCTTATGATCAATCTGAATTGAAACAGAGAACCAGGCAGATTTGGTTGGTTTCTATTTCCCTGTTTCTATATCCCTAGAATTAACAAGAACTAATAGATGATGATCAAAGATACGTATCTTACAACCCAAAGAGAAATTCCCATGATTAAGGGAGAGACCCCTACACACACACACACACACACACACACACACACACACACACACACACACAGAGAGAATTGGAACAACCTCCATTCCTCTGATCAACCTTCTTCATTATATAAGTACACAAGAAAGAAGCAAATGAGAGTCAAGTCTTCATGGTCCTTACGACAAATGTAGTGCTTGTGGTAAGACACAATCCTCTCATTTGCCAGTGGAACATAAGCATGGGGAGTGGGGTCTGTCCGCTTCCCAAAGAGGCTTCAAAGAGATCACTCATCAAGGCAGGAGACAAATACAAATACCATATGATCTCACTTATATGTGGAATCTGAAGAACAGAATAAACAAACAAACAAAAAACATTGGATGCCTACAGGCAGGTGATACTGCCTTCTCATTCTCCAGGTAGACCTATATCGGGCAACTATTTGCTGAACTGCCTTAGCAACTGGGCTGAGAAGGCACCTGGAGAGAGAGTGCAGTGTAAAGAGAGGGAGCAGCAGTGCATGGCCTGCTGGATCGCTCTTTGACCCATGAAGGATGTAGGATGTTTCTATGCTTCAAGTGGGCAGTGAGTAGCCATGTTGTAAACACAACCAAGATGACTGCCTGCCAGGTAAGAGAATGCCCAGAGCTAAGAGGGTATGGGATCTTCTGCCAGTAGTGGAATCTATGTGGAAGTCACGGTGAAACAGATCAAGCCAGATAAAGACCTCCCACATGACATGAGGGAATTATGCAGGGCTGCATGAGGGCTCCGCATGTAGACACCTGGCTCCCAGGACCATGACACAGCAGTCACCAGACAAACAGAGGGAGGACAACCATGGGAAACTATGTAAATGGCATCACCTTCCTCCATGATTCTGTCACATCCATCAGCGCCGGAGAAGTCAGGCACTGATACAGGAGGGTAAGCGGTGTCCCAAACCAGACCAAACCTTCAACTCTGCCTCTCCTGTCCTGTCCCCTCCTGAGGACTGAAGAGCAGTACATGCACCCTGCCTGCTCCAAGTCCCTCAGGCCAAGGCTGACGTGGCACTAGTGGCCGGGGAGGCAATATTTAAGCGGGCGTGTGCAAGGTGCTTTTAACAGAATGCATACTAATTGAAAGTGACAGGAAAGCTATGGAAGCTGCCAATGGCGTCGTCACGGACAGGAAGGAGGGATATTTGTTCGAAAAAGTTTGAAAAACAACAATGAGGAAACAGAAAACTTCTTCATTTTATTATCCCTGCTCAATCTCCTGGTTGCACGCATATTACAGTTAGGGGTGACTTTGCTACCACGTGTGAATAAGATACCAATTCCAGGTTCCCCAGTTACACAGACATATTTAGGACACACAAAGATGGTTCAAAATAAGATGCATCTATAAAACTTGGGGAGGGCCGGCCGAGTGGCGCGATGGTTAAGAACTCGCTTGGGATGCCAGAGGGCCCCGGTTCGGATCCCACATATGAGGGCCAGTGACACTGCCCTCCACAGCTAAGATGCTGAACAACAGCTCAACCTGGAGCTGGGCTGCCATGAGTCGCCGGCGACGGCGTGGGCTGCAGTCCCTGTGGCAGTGGATTGCCATGGGCTACCGTGTGTGGCCAGCAGCCAGCGTGAGCGGCCAGCAGCCGCAGTGAGCGGCCGTCCAGAAGCCGGCGACTGATCTGCCTCGCCAGAGAAGAGCGCAATGATGGTGCCAACTTGGGCCAGGGAAGCAACGTCCTCCACAACTAGACTGAAGAACAAAACGACAGCAACTTGTCTGTTCCCCTTTCCCCAATTCCCCAGCACTGTTCCCATCCCCCCAATTTCCCAATAAAAATCTTAAAAAAAAAAAAAAACTTGGGGAATTTATCTGTAGCTCAAAATAATGTTGGGGGTTGGTTTACGTGCAGTTCTGAAAAATTGAATTAGATTTAGAATGTAATGTTTTCATCAAGTATTTGGTAAAAAAACAATAACTCTAATGGGCTACAAAAGCATTTATATGGAAAGTTTTAGACATTTTAGAGAGTTTTTGCTATTCTAATTCTCACAAAAGCAGATAAGGTTGATGAAGCTATTTAAAAAAACAAACAAACAAAGCAATCATTAGGCAAAGTCACTAGAAATATTATGTAACTTAATTACAGAAAGTCAGGGTCCCATTGAAGCCGGAATTAACCTGCCCCCTACCTCCCACCTGGAGAATTACATTTTAGGGAAAACATGCACAGGCTGGGTCTCCTCAGAGGAGAGTGACCAGGGTGATGAACGTTCTGGAAACCATGCTGCATGTGGAACCGATGACAAAAAAAAATATGGATTTATCTTCGGATCATAGTAGGGCAGTTGTTAAGTGCCTTCCATTTCCATTTATTTGAAGGATTGTCAAATAGCAGAACGACTATTCCTATCCTTTGGTGCTCCTAAGAGCAAGAACATATGGAAGTGACAGTGAACAAAGCTTCTCTACATCTGAAAAAAGAGGCTGTC